ACCTTTTCTGATAACTAATTTATCAAATTCTTTAGAGACGGAAAGAAAGATATGCCAAAACAACACATGAACCCAGATGTTAGTTGCCAACATATTAGAATGCAGAGGCTTCTAGCACAGATCCTATAACAGCAATAGCAAACCTTGTCCATTCTAAGACTTTAGAAAACATTGACCTACAGCCAACATATGATTTGCATCTATGAGCATAGAACCATAGTACAGGAACACAGGTTCTCAATCACCCATCAATATATCTCTTCACGAGTTCCCTTTCTTCTTGTCGTTATATAAAAGCGAAGACATCATGTCTATATTACATATTACATATCTTTTCTTGCTTAAAAACCAATCAACAACATAAACATCTCACATTGTTTTTACCCTAGAAACGAGCCAACAAATAACAGAACCTAAGTTAACATGAAGTATGGACCACAATAACAAAACCTAAGTTAACATGAAGTAGGGACTAACCAATTGGTCCAAAGCATTAGTGCCAACGTTAGCAAACTAATATTGATAGCGCTCACCAAAGGTGAAAGACATACCTGCCATGGATACAATTTTGACATTCCTCTTTTCTTATATATGCTGCATAATTCAGAAGGCAGCCAGTTGTTGAGGTCCAAACGATCCTCAAGTGGTAAAAAGCTTGAAGGACTATCATCTTGATTGAAGCCACCTTTAGGAGTTAAATCATTCAATCTCCTATCCTTTGTGGTAAACATGTCACTGTGATCTTGCGCCCAAATATTCAACTTATTTTCAGTGGCATCATATTTGGATATCATATCTTGTACTCCAAGCAAATCACATTCTGTATGAGCGGCATTATTCTGAAGGCTCAAATTGTGACAAATTTGTTTATATTCTTGATTTTGGGACACACAACCAGGTGTTTTTCCTTTAATAATATGTTGTGAGCTTAAATTAACATAAGACGGGGTTTCCTCATCCATGTTTTTGTCCTCAATCTTAGAAAAATCAAAATGCTTTACAGGAAGTGGAGAAACTTCCTTAACCAAATCTTTGCTGTGCCTCGATACTGGTCCAACAACAGAATTAATTCCACCATTAGAATCTCTGGCAACACCTGCATACAGCAAGTTATTCAACTTATTGCCACAACCTCCGTCTGGTAAATTATTTGCCATACTTGTCTCTTTATCAGGCTTCAAATGTTCAGATTCTAAAGCAAATTGGGAATGCAAATTATCTTTAGGAATAAGCAAACCATCAGCAACTTGAATTGCTTCCTTCCAGAAAGTTTCTCCAGGTGAAAATATGGAGCTTCCACGTCCTGACTTGGGCGTTTCATGACGTCCAAGTTTACCATTGAGTGAACCAGGTGTAATACATCCAGCTGCATCAATGGTCAAAGAGGCATTTACACATCTCTTCAAGCTTGTTCCAGGTACTGTTTCATTATCACCCAATTCTATCTGCAAAAGTCATGTAATGACATACACAAACTTCAAAACTATTGGGGTAAATTAGGTCATAGAAGTAGTTCTAATAGGTACTCACCTCTGTAGAGCATTTGGAAACAGCATTTCCAGATTCATCAATAATTGCACTCTGCAGGGGCTTGCTATGTACATCTCCAGAACAAATACCTTCACCTTCAACATGCAACTGACTCATATTAATATTGCAATGCCTTCTCTTAGATGATCTATCCTCTGAATCAAGTGCAGATGGACTACCATGCCTCTTAATTGCGTGTACATTTGTTTCTGATGGTACACTTGCACTACAAGGTAAATGACATTAGAAAGGATAGGATATGAATTATGATAGAAGAGACAACAGGGATGAGCACCAACTAATTGTCAGTCACAGCAGATGAACAGAATTTGTCCTATGTATTTATCATCTCAATTAACTATGGATTCACTGCTAAAATAAAGCCAATACCTGCAATACAAGGACAAAAAATTCGTGGCAAACCGCTTTAATTCCGGGTTTTCAGCTTCTCCAGCTGTTGCATTTTCTGGAACTTCCTTACTTGCTCCAGCTACAGAACCACCAAAATCATTCGAAGTTTCAGAATTTACCCTCTGAGCATATCCAAATAAATCAAGACCTTGAGCACGGACTTCCATCGGCAAAAGAGCATCTTTCTTTTCATCTTTAGAAGATAAACTAATCTCCAACGTTAAATTTCTCTTAATTGGAACTCGCTTAACTGGTGATTCGCTAGCTGCCCGATTAGGGCTATTTTTGTTCTCCTCTGAACCTACTAAAAAATTATCCAAAGAGCCTTTGGTACCAGGAGATCCTTCAACTGCAATCTTTGCATCTTTTCCAACTTTCTTGGACTTCACACTTGGTGATATAGCCTTCCTCTTCTTCTTCGAAGCAAAGAACTGTCCACAACAACAAATAAACCCAAAAACAAAAACCATAGATAAAATTCAGCCAAATAAATCAAGCAATCAAAATATACAATCACAAAATTAATAGAAGGTGACAAGGAGGAATTTTAACATAAAAACCTCACCTTTACTAAAATATTCTTAACAATCATACTATTTTTTAATGCAAAATTGTATGAAGAAGTTAAATACAAGAGAATTTTCCCAGATAACTCAAACCCCAAAAATAATAATGCTAAAAGAATCCAAAAAAGATCAAATTTTTACAGAAAAAATGCATAAATTTTTTTACTCTAGCATATCCATACACAAGTTTACATATCCCTTTTGTCCTTGTCATTTTATGACTTAAGGATGGAGAAATAGGGATACCTGGTCGATTCGGGCTCGAGGGGAATCCCCAGACGCCATGGCCAAGAACTGTAAAACGTAAGGGATTAAGGCTTCACGAGGCCTGAATTCTTGAAAACACGAATTGAATTACGATAAATCCAGTGGAATTAAACATGGAAATCAACAAGATTCAAGTATAAACCCATTCTTAGGCAGCCTAGAAAACAGCCCAGAAAGTGAATACTGTAGGGGCTGGAGCGAGGGAGGGACCTTTCTGGGCTCAATTCAAATGTTTTGGGTATTTGCTATAGTGGCCCGCTATCTTATCAAATTTGATTGTCAGTTTTACGGATTGGTCCCCCAAGTTAGTAATTAATGGCACCGAGAACATCGCGAGATATGTCATTTTGCTATATGGGACATGGAGATTAGTTAAGTACAAGTACATTAGAACAATAAGAATATGTAGAAAGTGTAGGCACTAAGGCTAGGGATGTACGCGAGCCGAGTGGTCAACAACTCGGCTCGAACTCGGGTTGACCGAGTTCGAGCCGAGTTTCGAGTAGCTCGAATGAAAATCGAGTCGAGTTTCGAGTCACATTTTCCGGGCTTGAGGCTCGTCGAGTAGCTTGACGAGCCGGAGTTATTTAAATAAAATATTTATAATTTAAATAATATATATTTATTATAATTATAAAATGACCATTATGGGTATAAGTTATATGAAATTTACAATATACTCTTCTTTATAATAAAATCCTATAATGGCAAAAAAGTAATAACATAATTGTAAAAAGCACTAAAAAGAAAAAATGTCTAGAAAAAAAGGTCTTTTCTTCCTTCTCTGTTCGACTTTCTTCTCTATTCGAAGAAAGCCTCGCCAAAAAATTCACTTTACCAGCCGGCAACCACTGACTCTGACTGATTTAGATCTACACCCTCACTCTATTACTCTCAGTCTCTCGTTCGTGGCCGACGCCGTTGCTCACCGCATCTGTGAGACTCCATTGCCATCGCCATCGCATCTGGTTACTGGCATGTCTGTCTCTGCTCTAATGTTAAAGTTGGTGTCTTGGTAATTTTCACCGCAGCTCTTCTGGTATCCTTTGCTTGATGATTTGCTTTGTCGAACTTTCTTGGATTATGCCTCGGTGCTTCACAACTTCTATCAAACAACCTACTGATGAACTAAAAAAATACTAAAATCGAAGAAAAATGAAAACCTTCTGATGGAGTCCGGATCAGGGCTTCTTGATTAGTCATTGTCGAGCTTAGTTCAATTCGAGCCATATCTAACAGGCAACAGTTTTTGAATTCAAAATTGTGCTGTATGTAGAAAAATGTCTTAGGATTCTGTGTCCTTGTTGCAGTCCTCTTCCAGGCGGAGTATGTGAACTCCCACAGATCTTGAAGGTGGGCAAATTGCAAATCAAAGTTTTTGTAACTATTTGAACTCATTAATTTGTAGTAGCTTCTAGTTATTTTACAAATTACAACTACGCAGTATAGATTTTATTACCCTACTGTGGCTGAGCTGATAAATCCTATTAAGTTCCATTATTAATTTTTACACCTCTTCATCTATTAAAGCTTGGAGCTGAGAAGTTATGATGACAACATATTTTAATATCAGCCATCATTAGTAGACGTTTTACACAATTTTAATGAAGACAGTTGGGAAGTAGAGCCTGAGGACGCTATATCTCTTTGGCTTTTCTTTTTCCTTTTACTGGATAATGGACACCATTTGCTAGTAATAGTATGCGTCATATGATGCATCTGCGGATTTCTAAGTACTTCAATTCTGTGGGCGCTCAAGAAGCGCCAAATACCGGATGCAGATTTAGGAATCGTGCAATATTTATGTAAATAATTTTAATTTGTGCTCTTAAAAAATCAGACTTAGGATAATGGTGTGCAAAAATATAGCTAAGATTGACTTCAAAATCCTTTGTGTTATGATTTGACCAACTAGGTGTGATGAATTTGCCCAAATTCGGATTTGAGCAACCTCACATGCTTATTCTTTTTCTTTTTCTGCTTCTTCTTAGACCACACTTTGCTGTTTTGGATGTCTTACTACCTTCATGTCTTCTGAATCCAGTCGGGCAGAATCTTTGTCAAGAAAATGCAAAGTGGCACTAGACATTCCACGAGTTGCTCAAGATTAGAAAGCAATGCCGAAGGAGTTGGTAAGCTAAATGTATAATATGTTGGGCAGTTTTTTTGAGGTGATATGCTGGTACTAATGAATGTTTATATTCACTTTATGGGTAAATTGTAGGTATGTCAATTAGTCCTCCCGAGGTATCTTCTATCCCGCGATCATCTGCTCATGATTCAACTACTCCATTCACATTGGATACCCCTGTTTTCATAAGTAATGATACAACAACAGCTGGAGTTCAAGTATTTGCTCTTGAAGAACAAGAACAAGAAGAAGAACCAACTGGTCAAATAGGAGGAGACACGCGGGAAATGACTGAAGCTGAAGATGAATTCCAGATCCCTAAAAGAAATAAAACATCTGAGGCTTGGGATGATTTTGACGAAGTTGAGGAAAATGGATTGAATTATGCCATTTGCAAGCATTGCAAGAAAAAGCTGTCAAAAGGCAAGTCAAAGCAAACAAGTAGCATGTGGAGACATCGGAATAGATGTTCAGCCCGAAAAGCAAGCATTAGAAAGGCTGAGCAGCAAACAAAATTAAATTTCCAGCCAGCTGATGATTCTTTTCCGACTTTGCCACCCTTGAGCGGAAAGTTTGACATGGAGAAAGTTAGAGAGGCAGCTGCACATTGGGTGCTAATGCATGAGCATCCATTCACCATATTAGAAGAAGAAGGCTTCAATCTTATGATGAAACGAGCGGTGCCAGAGTGGAAGAAAATCTCTCGAGCAACAGCAAAAAATGATTGTATGCAAGTATATGAGCTTGAAAAAAATAAGTTGAGGAACAAGTTGAAAAATGTGGAAAGAGTGAGCATCACAACCGATTTTTGGAAGTCGAAAAATCAAAAGATCGAGTACATGGTCATCACCGGGCATTGGATTGATTCTGATTGGAAACTACAAAAGCGAGTCTTGAGTTTGGTACATATACCACCGCCTCACCGAGGAGTTGAGATAGCATCTTCAATTTTTAAAAGTGCAAAAGAGTGGGGCATTGAGCACAAAATTTACAGCATATCAGTTGATAATGCCTCGAACAATGATGTAACTGTTAGAATATTAAGAGATGACATCTCCAGGTCCAAAAAGCTTCTTTGTGATGGAAAATTGTTCCATGTTCGATGCTGTGCACACATCTTGAACCTTGTAGTTCAAGATGGCATTTCTGAGATTGTGGACATCACCAAAGCCATTAGGGATTCCGTGGAATTTGTGAATCGATCAGAGGGGCGTGCATTGATGTTTGCTGAAATTGCTCAACAACTCCATATACCAGGAAAAAAGTTGCTTTACGATTGTAAGACAAGATGGAATGCCACATTTGAGATGCTGAATTGTGCCATCAAATTTAAGGATGTTTTTCCCCGTTCCCAAGATAGAGAGCAAAGTTACGATTTTTGCCCATCTGCTGAGGATTGGAAAAAAGCTGAAAAGGTTTGTTCGGTCTTGGAAAAATTTTGGGAGTGCACACATATAATTTCTGGTTCAGATTATCTACGAGCAATCTTTTCCTTCAAGAGTTGGTGAAGATAAAAAAAGTGTTGGATGCTCGAGTCAATGATGAAGACCCCTTCATTCGGGCCATAGTTCGAAGGATGAAAACTAAGTTTGACAAGTATTGGGGTGAATGTAATTTGATATTGGCCGTGGCTGCCATTTTAGATCCAAGACAGAAAATGAGGGTTGTGGACTTCACCTACCCTCAAATGTATCTACCTTCAGAGGCTTCTCATAACATTTCCACCATTCGCCGAGTGCTATTTGAGTTATATGATGAGTATGTTGCTCTAGCGGCGAATCCAACAGGAGGGCCAATGGCTTCTAGCTCTTCCCAAAGGCAAGGAACAAATGCGACCAAGAAGACTAGATGGGGTGATTTTGATCAATATTGTGATGAAGTCGAGACTAGCGAACCTCATAAGTCAGAATTGGTTGATTATTTAGACAAGTCTCGCCAAAAGATTGGAGAAGATCTCGATGAATTTGATTGTTTGGGGTGGTGGAAAATAAATCGAATCTCATATCCAGTACTTTCTCGAATGGCTAGCGATATATTGGCCATTCCGATAACTACAGTTGCATCGGAGGCCACTTTTAGTGTCGGAACTAGAGTAATTGACACCTATCGAGCAGCACTTCACCCCGAGACAGTTCAAGTATTGATGTGCGCAGGAGATTGGTGTAGGAATCTTCACGGCATCAAAAAGAAGATGAAGGTCAGCTTTATTGTTTTACTACCAAACTTTTATATTTGAGTTATTGAGTATAAGTTAATTTATTCTTTTGGGAAGTTATGTAACTTTTTTTGTGTTTTTACCTCTATGCTTTTTGTAGGAAGCCAAGACAATCAAAGAATTCGACTTGCCAAAGCTTTGAAGATTTATGTTTCTAAATCTAGATTAGCTCATAATTTGGACCTTGTTAATTTATGAGACGTAACTTATTATATATTGTGGAGTATGTTTATATTTTAAAGCCTTTTTCTTTCATTTGCCGAATGTATGACTATTGTGTGAGCAGGCTGGCCGCTGGTTAATGACATGCAAATGTGTAGGATAAATGTCTAGAAAACTTGTTTTTTGAGTGTGTCGTGTGTGGTATAAGGTTCAGAGGTTTTGCTTGTGGGTCCAATTCTTTTGCTCTTTCCTCTGTTTAAAATGACAGCCTAATCAACAGCCTGGAAAGAGCTGTTGCAATTTGCTGTAAAAGGCTCGAGCCTCTGGGATTCCATTTTAATGGTGGTATTGAGGTCATCTTTGCTGGGTCAGGTTAGTGACAAGAGTTTTCAACTTCATTCTTCTATATCCTGTTCAAACACTTGTAATTCTGCTGGACTATGGTCCATTTCTGAACCAGGAACATATTTTTCTGACATGTTCTTGTTTAAAGCAGCTTTCTTTAGTTAGTAATTAGTGATATTTGTGGGGAAAAGGAATTTCTGGATAGATCTTGGCATTGGTTTCTGAATTGAGCTTGTGGTAGTTGGGATATTGTGGCTGTTTGAGATAATTGTTTGTCTCTCAATTTGGTGGCTCAGCTCATGTTTTGCTGAGTTTTGGAATTTTGTGGGGAATTTTGGTTAGTTTGGGTACTTTTGCAGCACACTTAGGAACTATGATCCGAGGAATTAGAATCATCCATTTTTTGTTGCTCTTGTGGGCACCTACCGTTGGTGGGTAATTGCTGAATTTGAAAGTTTCATGTCAAGCAATCCAGCAAGTGGGAATTTCCCTTTTTTCTTCTCTATTCTTCTTTGTGGTGAATTTGATTTTTAGGGGTGTTAAAAATGCTAACTGTGGGAGGTAGAATGTGGATACTTTTGGTTGTATTTGTTTTGATGAATCATGGATTTTATGCCTCATTTACTCCAGCTGATAGCTACTTGCTTGCCTTTGAATCTTCCCAAAACGTCACCTTTGATCTCATTTTTTGGTCAAATCGAGTCAAAAAGCTTGATAAGACTCGACTTGATAAGGCTTGACTAAAGGTCGAGCCTTATCGAATCGAGTTTCGAGCCTAAAGGAAATTCTTCGAGTCGAGCTACGAGTATCGATTTTTGGACTCGATCGAGCTCGAGTCGAGCTCGAGCTTCTGTGTATATGAGTCGAGTCGAGCTCAAGTATGGCGATACTCAAGCTCGACTTGGCTCGATTACATCCCTAACTAAGGCTAAGTTTGGGAGTTTAGGATAGAAAGAGAAGAAGGAAACTTAAGTTATGAGAGAAGAGAAGAGAAAAGAAGGAATTGTTATGTTGTTTGGGAGTTTTGAGAATTAGTGGAATGATTTTGGATATGAAAGTCATTAAATATTTGTTTCTGTTTGTATCCTTCTATTCTTCAAATACTATAAAAAATTTTTAAAAGTATTCTAAAAGGTACCATAAAAAGTAGTCTAAATTTTTTTAATGTTTAAAAATTTTCCAAAATATATTTTAAAAACTCTACTACTCTTAAATATTTCAAAATATTTTCTAAAAATATCCCAAAATATACTCTAAAAACTTTGCTACAATAAAATTTTTCAAAGACACCCCCAAAAACAGCTAATCCAAACGGAGGTAAAAAAAATTTCACGAGTTTCCTCCAACTTTCTCTCCATTTCTCTCCAATTTGGGAGGAAAAATTTTGCCTAGTATTCATTCTCTTAAATCCTTCCATTTTCCTTCTTTTATTTCCTACTAAAAACTAACAAATGAAGGAAAATTTAACTTTCTCATCTTTCTTTTTCTTTTCTGTCCAAATCCTCCACTTCCAAACGAACCCTAAATTGAGGTTTAGAGGTGGAAACACGCATAATTTTTGCTTTGAAGCTGGAAATATGCACAATTGAACTATGGACATATGCACTAAATAACAGGTAATTAGTAACTAAGCCAGAACTATTCAACTTCTCATCACCTATGTCACTTTTTTTTAAAGCACCTCTCCGTAATAGAAAAGAAATACTCCTAGTGTTATTATTCAAGTGGCTTTCATGTGTTGGTTTAAGGGTGTTTCGACAAGCTATGTGTTATGATAATGTTTAAACTTTTTCTTAGCAATTTGTATTATTTTGATATGGAAGCACTTTTTCACATTGATGTGGGCAAAATATGTTTTTGTGTATCTCACAAGTTGAATTAAGTTACTCAATACTCAATAAAAGCTTATCTGATCTTGGTTCACCAACTAAATCAAGTGAAGAATTAACAAAATTTAGTGTAAGATTAAAAAATTCATATGTAAATAGTTGAAGATATGAGCTTGGTCTCATAAAAGCTCGTTAAGTTCAACTCGGTTGATATACATGTCAAGTTTGAGCACAATTTCAAATTTATTAAAAATACACAAAGAATATTGAACATTGTAGTTTTTGGCATTAATTAGGCTCATGTACATCCTTAATCCTTACCCGTATTCTTTGTTCAACATTATCTTCTTCTTCTATTCTTCTTTGTTATGTTGCTATGCGTTGCTGGTTCTTATTCTCTTCTCCCTTGTTATGAATAACTCTTTTCCTTATTCATTATGCTTTTCTTACCTTCCTTTTGTTTTATTGCTCATGGTTGTGCTATCGGAGTCTTCCATTATATTCTACCTCTTTTGATGCATTTTGATATTTTGTCGCAAGAGTTCTTTCCTAACAAAGCATATGTCATTATTTGTTTAAGCAAATGTTAGTGGCACTTCTTTTGACATTTTAATTACATATCTTATTTGCTTTAAGGAATTGTTAATGGCACTTCTTTTGACACTGAAATATTCTATACTAAACAACATAGGATTTAAGCAACTAAAACAAATAAAAAGATGTCTCACCTCCTTGATTTTAGAAATTCTCATATCTGTGTCTATTGTTTAGGGATATCATGATTTATAGGTATTTTTTGTATGGGGATTCTTTGACATTTTAACTATGTAAATTCAATAAAAAAAAAATACCCCTATAAATTCATTAAACTTATAATGAAAATTATAGGCATTTTTATCCTTTCATGTGAGTTAGAAAAGCTATAAGGATTGTTACTAACAAGCAAAAGAGTACAAATAATATCTCTCTTTGCTTATTTAGATCATCATTTATGACACTTTCAATAAGCCTCTTAATTTGTATTTCTTTTTTCTTTTTGTTTTTGAAATGTTCCTTTTTTGCAACTTTTGTTGCTTTGCATTTTATATCTCACTTGCTTATATCTGCCTATGGATTATGTCCTATGTTAATTAGTTTTTTGTATCTCTATGTTCTAAATTTCTCTTTTATTTGTACTATATTCATGGATACAAATTTTGATCGATGCACTTTTGTGTTAATACTATTTGAATTTATATGTTTTCATTATTCTTGAATTGTACCTTTTATTGAATGGCATTCAGTTTATTAATACCAAAAGAATTCCCCAACACAATTTATTTCAAATTTAAGTTTTTAATGTTATTGAATTTAAAATAATTTGATATATTGCCTCTAATAAATAACTATTAGATGAATTAAGAGTTTAGCTAGAGAGAAAATAACTCTTTTATCCAAATAGGCAAAAGAAGTTCATCCAAAATAAAATAAAAAATTCAATCACCTTAATAAAGAAGATTTGTCTTAGGAGAAACTAAAAAAGTCAACTGAGAACCTTCGTTGTTTAAAAAAAAAAAAAAAAGACCCAGAATGTTTGTCCAAAGTCAAATTTGAACCTTTTTGCCCTTATAAAGTGATAATTAGGTATTTTTGGAATTCTCTAATAGTCTTGAAATAAAATATGCTTCCAGTAAAATAACAATGCCTTACTACTAACTTTGTTTATTGTTGTATATGAATGTTTCTATTTTTTACATATGGATGTTTATATGTTATACATATTACAAATTAGATTTGGTAGTATTTGTCTATATATTCATATCATCAATAAACAAATTTCTTAATCAACAGTTTGTTCTTCCTATTTATATTTTTTTCATAACAAATTTATTAAACAGTATGCTTTATGTACAGGTATACATGCTTACTGCCTATGTTAGCCTAACCCCTAATCTTATTATTGGAAAAATATTTTTCAAAAGCAATTCTTTATATTGAACATATTTGCAAACAATGCCTACGAGTTTTGAAAATCTTATATAATCCTCTTATGTATAAGTTTAAGGTTTCGAGAGCTTTTTCTTTGGACCTTAAGGAGAAAGGAAGTGAGAGACAAAGATGATATTCAAAATGGTAGGTAGGTGGAGAGTAGCTTAAAAAAAATAGAACTGAATTAAACATTATTCAATAATTAATTTTGGATCATTTTGATGTGGAAAAGTTGAGAAATGAACTCCTGCACAATTATACTTTCACGATTAAGGTAAAGAATATTAAGAGATTAGTTGGTATGGCATCGGAGTCAAATTGTAGCACCAATTTGACTATATTTTCATATTCGAACCGAGTATCAACTCGACCGAACTCAGGGGTCAAGGGTCAATGAGTTCGACAGGATTTAATCAGGAATCGAATCGGATGATATCATAAATACATCATAAATATCTGGTAATGATATATAGTTAAAATAGTATATAAAAAAATTCCCTATAAATTGGTGACTTACAACTTTACATACATATTTCATGAGTTTAAATTTAGTCCTAAAGGACTGCACTTAAAAAATTTAAAGGCTATAGGTAACATTGTAGTTTAAAAAATAAAAAAGGGTTAATTATACTTATCATATATATATATATATATAATAAAGTCGTATCCTTATTCTTATCCTTTCATGTTTTCTCTTTTCTACGTGGCTTAACGAGACGACAAGTAGTTTCCTAATAGGATTCTTAATAAATTTTATTATTAAGTGCGTTATTAAGACATAGTGCATAGCATGAAATTTATGGAAAAAATAAAATTCCAATCATATATATATATATATATATATAATAAAGTCGTATTCTTATCCTTATCCTTATAGTTTACCTCTTTCCTACGTGGCTTACTGACATATAGGGATGGCAATGGGGCGGGAGACCCCTCTCCCATCCCCCGCCCCGCTGCCTACAAACTCCCCCCGCCCTCGCCCCATCCCCCGTCCCCCGCTCCCCCGGCCCCACTTTCCCCACGGAGTTAATAAAAATTTGTTATATAATTTTATTATAGTTAAATTTTAGCAAATAATCAAGTACTAAAATATTAACACATCATCAAATTATTATTCATTATAATTTTACAATTGAATCTTACAAAAACAATCGAACGAAAAATATTTGCATACAATCCAACATGATGAAATAAATATAACTAAAGTAGTCAAATTTTCACTTTTGGCACAAATACAATCACTAATTCATTATTGTGCTTGTGCCTTTTTAAGAAAAAAATATTATTGTATTAAGTGTAATTAGAGATTTAGTATAAATGTATTATTAAATTTAATATAACCAATTAATAATTTGTATTAGTACACATGTATAATTATTAGTATAATTAATAATATCAATTATATTATATATACTAATAGACATTTATATAATACATATAACTAATAATATAATTATCATAAGTTTATAACTAATTAAATTATATATTATATATATAATTATATTTATATATTTTTTATATATTTATTTTTTTAAAGCGGGTGGCGGGGCGGGAGATGGGGTGGGGGTAACACTCCCCTGCCCCCCGCCCCGTTTCTAAGTGGGGGGGGAAATATTTCACCTGCCCCAGCCCCACCCCTAGGCCCAACCCCCTCCCCACTAACCCCCCGCGGGCGGGTAACCGTATTGACATAGCAAGTAGGTGTAACACACTCTATGAGTTAATCCCCTAATAACCCACACTATTCTATCCCTCTTTTTTCTCTTAACTTTACAATTCTAGATAATCCTTTCATAATTATTTCTTTCATTCTCTCACCTTTTTTTTCCTTAACCTTAATCGTCAAGCCTAAATTTCATGGGGATTAGTATAAATAATTTTGAATTATGTTTTTAACTCTCTCTTATATTCAACTCAAAAGTTTGAAATATCAATTCAAATATTAGATTATCTTTATCAGATTATCGCTATCGAAGATGCTCTACATTTTTATTCATATATATGGTTATCGATCTATTACTCATCACTTTATCAAGCAGTGCAAATATTTACACTTTTCCACAATATTTTTGGAAAGTTTTTTTTTTACTTCAATGCAAGGACCGGATTTGAAACTTCGTTTTTATTCCCTTCAATGCAAGGACCGCATTTGGACGTTGTTTATACTCGCTATATGTGATCTGTAATTTCCTATACCTTCTTCATAGTTAGGTCATTGAATTTGAATTTTCTAAGTCTTCAAAAGTTACAGTTTGGTTTTTATTTCTGGTAAGGTTTTTGTAATTAATTTGTTATTTCAATTTATGGATTCACTCTTCAATTCAAGTAGAATACATATTGTTTTTTTGGTTAGTGATTTAAAAGTAGCCTTTTGAACTATGTGTTTTCACACGATTTTTTAATTGCCTTTGACAATTTATTAATTATCTTCAACAACATATTAATTTTTTTTTATTTTCTAGGTTTCTGGGGTTAAAAAAATTTTGTGCAGTTTTCAATGTTTTCTTTTAGACTTTGGTAGAAAGTTTCTAAAGAACAAGAAAGTATCACTGATTACATAAATGGCAAGACATCAAATTCATTCTCATACAGCAGTTCACGTCATGCAATATACATCAGACTATTTAGATTTTTTTATGTTTTTTGATTTAATAGCAAAATACATCTTATGTTTTCATTTTGGTTTCTATTAGCCATGAACAGATTTAGAAGGTTGCTGTGTTCCTATTACTTGATTGATTCTGAATTCTTATCTTTTATTAATATTTCATTCGGCTTCTTTTCTTTTCACATTAACCTTTAAGCCATTTATATTAAGTACCAAAATTGATGTTTTGGTAACGGGTTGGCCATTCTTTTATTTACAGAAGATCAGCCAAAATTTGATCTTCCCTATTTTCAAGTTTTTGAATGTCATCTATTGTCAATTTTTTTTTTGCATTTTTTGAATTTATTAATCACTGAATTAGATGTTTAAATTTACATTATAAGATTATTTTTGAATAACAATGTATTTAAGAAAGGCTATAATAGATTATACAATAAGTTTGTATTTTATGCAAATATTTTTGTGAACTACACTAAATAATTTATTATTTTTAGGCAATTTGTATTCAACGAATGGGTACAACACTAGTTAAAATAATATGGGAACAAAAGAAATTATTAAAAAAATTTTGGAACTGCCAAACCTAATGCGATGTTAACTTGCCACCTCTATTCTTTTCTTTTCACTTTGTCCTGGTTTCTTTTTCTTCTTTCCTTTCATCATAACTCTTTTCTTATCTTTTATTTCCCACAAATCAAATACATATGAAATCTCTCTTTTTCTTTGTTATTTACCCTTTTCCCTCCTCTCTCTTCTCTTTCCTTTTTAGGCTTAGTTTGGGAGTAGATGAGGGAAGAGAAAAGAAAAGAAAAGAAAAGAAAACTTAGAAAAGAAAGGAAAAGAAGAGAAAAGATGCATATTTCGTTTGGGAGGTCAATGAAAGAAAAGAAAAGAAACATATTTCCCTTATTTGAGAGTTGGAGAGATATGGAAAGAAATAATTTTATGAGAATGCAACTTTACGTATTTGCCCTTTCAATTTTTAAATCAAAGTCCAAAGATTAGTTTTCTTGTTCCAATAAATAGAATATTTGGGCAAGACAAATTTCTAAAACAATTGCACATCCATTCCCACAAGGTGAATAATAATAAGTTGAGTTCCCAAATAATAAGTTGTTCTTTTATTATTATTTTTTTTTGCATCTTGAACTATTTGCCCATTTTTACTCAAATGTTAAACTTCAGCTCGTTATTGGTACTTGTCATTTACATTTGCGTGTCATTATGTGGTGCAAAGATTGGTGAAAACAACAAATAATTAAGCAAAGAGGTGCATGGTACCATAAAATACATAAACCAGGCTTTCATGGAATGCAACCCAAGTCAATAAAATGGAATGCAACCAAGTGAACTCAAAATATACATAAACCAGGATTATATGGAATGCAACTTGGTTTCCCATAGCATTCAGATTTCTGAATCCACATGTGCATTTACTCCTGATACAAAAGAAATTCTATCAATTTCTAAACAAAAATACATCCAATGATCTACGTACTTTTAAAACATGAAATGTGCAGTGGGTAATTGGATTCATCTTCAATTTCCAAAACTAGCTTATATCTTCAATAGTATTTCGAACATGATAACATGCTCATGTTGATGAAAGTGGCTAAAATCCATTCATCAGCTTGTTCAAAATATTCCTACTCCTTTCCGATAGGCACCCAAAGAAACTTCTTACTTTCTCGGTGTTTTGACAAAGGAACACATAATAATCACCAATCAGGTCTGCCTCAACTCCAATATTAACAAGTTCATCATAAATCTCTTTCTCTGAATATACTCGTGGCCTAGATTTTTCAAGAATAGCATTAACTTCTCTTAGTGCATCAGCAACGTTGTGAAACGCACCCTTCAAACTTTCAAATTCTTCATCACATGTGACTTTTCTTTTCTTACCTTGTGTTGCTGTTGTACCTTGAGATTGTTTGTTGTTACAAGCCTTTGATCGTTGTGCATCCAACTCCTTGCTTGAATTATTGAAATTCTCTAGACTAATCTCATTTTGAGATAGCATGTCGTCAATCTTAATAATACTTTCAAACTGCACTCCATTTGGTTCATTCATCCAACGCATACGTTTCTCTCTCGCTATTTTAGCACCCTGTCCTGTTGCCCTATCTTTAGCAAAAAGTTCTTCTAAGCTGTCATAATGGTTGATAACTTTAAGAGGCGTTTGGTAAAAGGGTATCGGAATGAAAGAATGAAATAAACTTCATAACTGGTATTTGGTTCACTAATATGGGAATTGAAATTTTGGAATGATTTCTAAAAATTTGGCATCCCTCCATTCCTTAGTAAAAGGGTGGGTTTTGTCCAAAACCCAAGTGTGATTCCAAAATCTTATAATTACATAAGGGAAAATGATCGGTTTCATCATTCACATTTTACAAAAATATTCTTTTCGTCCCTCACTTTTAAAATGAAGCCATTTCGTCCTCGACATTTAAAAACTAAAATTATTACATCCCTAAACCCAAATTTCAATCTGAATCAAACCACTAATCAACCTGATTACAAATTTTGGGGGTGTAATTGGTAAATCACTTGGTTAACTCAACTTGATATTCATGTAAAATTTAATAAATCTAAAAAGAAAAAAGGAAAAATTATAATATAAAAAAGAAAGATTAATCTTTTCTACATTATCATTGTATACACTGACGGTTTTATGTACCGCCATATTATTTTAATTTAAATTTAAATACCAAATTTTATATTTATGATATACATCTAGATTCGCAAGCGGATATACTAATGGTGCATGAAAAGATTTATCAAAAAAAAAAACTCTACTATTCCCAAACAAAGAATGGCCTTTTATGTTATATTTTTTATTTTTTTGGTTTAATAAATGTCATGTGAATATGATGAAATTGACCGAATGATCTATCAATTCTATTTTCGAAATTTATTACTGGGTTATTGGATGGTTGGATTCAGATTGAAAGTTAGATTCAAGGATGTAATAGGTTTAATTTTTAAATGTCAGGGACGAATTTGCTTCCTTTTAAAAGTGAGGGACGAAAAGAATATTTTTGCAAAATGTGAAGGATGAAACAGGTCATTTTCCCATTGCATAATATTTAGTATAATTAATATTTATATATATTATATATTTATACTTATATTTATATTATAATATTAGTATATTATATAAATATATATTATAATTATTTAGTTAAATATAATTATATTTATATTATATATTATAAATTTCTTAATATTATATAATAATATATTTATAATATATATATATGTATATTTATAAATGTATATTATATGTGCATATAATTATAATAAATACATGTGTATAATAATAATAAATTATATAATTATATTTATATTTATTATTTTAAATATAATAATATATAATAATAACTATATCTAATTAATATGCATTATATTTATATAAAATATTAGAACAATTAATATTTATATATGATATAATTATAATTATATATTTATATTATAACATTCGTATAATTATAATTAATTATAAATATAATATTTAATTTAATTAGTTACAAAATTATAATAATGATATTATTATATTATATAATTATATATTATAATTATTTAGTTAAATATAATTATACTTATATAATATATATTATAAATTTATTAATATTATATAATAATATATTTATAAAATATATGCATATTTATAAATGTATATTATATGTGCATATAATTATAATATATACATGTATGCAATATTAATAAGTTATATAATTATAATTATAATTATTATTTTAAATATAATAATATATAATAATAACTATATTTAATATGTAATATATATTATATTTATATAAAATATTTGTATAATTAATATTTTTATATATTATATAATTATAATTATATATTTATATTATAACATTTGTATATTTATATTTAATTATATATATAATATTTAATTTAATTAGTTACAAACTTATAATAATATTATTATTAGTTATATGTATTATATAATGTATATTAATTTATGTAATATAATTAATATTATCAATTATACTAATAATTATACATGTTTACTAATAGAAATTATTAATCAGTTAGGCTAAATTTACGAATACATTTATACTAATATATTTAATTAGTGAAAATTTCTTATATCCCATTTACAAAGAGCAAATAACTATCATTTACAATGTGGTTTATAATATATTTATTATATTCCATTTCGAAAGAGTTGACGAACCAAACATCAACTATAATAATGATACACATTTCAGGTACTTGAACCAAACAAATGTATTGGAATGAATGACCTCATTCCAAACCCATGATATCCGATTTCGAATCCGAATCTGATTCTGATGTGCGAACCAAAAGCCATTTTAGTCTTCCACATTATAGCTTCAGGTTTTTCCTAAGAACATGAAAAGAAAAATGAAAAAACAAGCATCATTTCAATGATAAAATAAAAAAGCAATAAAGAAAGTAAAACAGTCAAGCTAGCATATACCTGTAGAAGTTGTTCCCAAACTTCAGGTTCAACGCACCAAGTTTTTGTGAATGGATTCCAAGAAAAACCACTCAATTTTCCATTTCTAAAGAAATCATAGGACTCTTTGAAGTGTTCCTTGAGTGTCTTCAATCGATTCTTCAAATGACTTTTGGTAAATTCTATTCCACGTTTCTCCTTCAACTCATTGATAATATTGTTGTATGCAGTTGGTGTAAAAGTTCCGTCCACATGAAATCCTTTATAATGCTGATCCTTTATAATGCTGATCCAAAAGGGCCTGAATGAAGACTTCATCTATTTCTAGAGTCCATTTCTTGTTTTCCTTCATGATGCTTGGATATTTTTTCATGCTTTTCCAAGTACACAAACTATATTTGTAGAAGAAAACATAACAAGAACAGAATTTACATCAAAATAAAAGTTTTATATTAATTCTATTATGAATACATGGTTCTATAGATCCAAAAACATACAAAATTATATTAGACAAAAGAAGATTCATGTGGCAACTTGCATTTATAAACTCACACTACTAATATAAGAGTACAAGTTAACAAAATAAGGATCGCATTACAACTTAAACAAAAGAAATTAGCATCAAGTCAGGTTATCATAGTATATAATCATTCCACATTTGCATTGCTATTTCATTCCTTAAACTCTCTCCTTGAGCATGATCTTTTCAGCACTTATATTGCCACTTTCTTCCTTCAATGGAGATTGACGTGCCAATTCCTCATCCACTTCATTAATGTACTCCAAGTCAAGATCAAACTCCATGAGAAAATTATGTAATATACAACAAAAAAGCACAATTTGTGATTGTATTTCAACACTATAAGTTGGTTGAGTATCTTCAATGATTGGAAACCGTTTTTTCAAGACACCAAATGCTCTCTCAATTGCATGACGCAATGATGAATGTCGCAAATTGAATAGTTCTCGAAAGTTTTGCGGTTATTGACTTGAGTATTCCTTCAAGTGATACCTTATATTTCTATAAGGTGTAAGAAGTCCCCTTCTCAACATGAATCCAGCATCAACAAGATAATATTTAGCTATACAAACATCAAATAGTTACTACTTAATTAAATGCACTAAGAATAATTAACTAAGTATTACCATTAGGAATGATTAATTTATCTTCTCTAGTGAGCGCATTTTTTATGATCATCGAATCCGATGCAGTTCCCTCCCAACCGGGTAGAACATATGTGAATCTCATATTCAAAGAACATGCACCTAGCACATTTTGTGCTGGATGCTTTTTTCTACCACGATATTTTGCCGCATCAATGCTGGACACCTTAACGCGAACATGGGTTCCATCAATTGCACCCACACAATCCTGATAGTTATACACTATGTTAAAATATAATTTCTATATGAATTTACAATTTTTAAAATAAGGTGTCGAAAAATTGATATCACCTTAAAATATGGATAAAATCTTGCACTATTAAGTATTTCCGAAGGAACTTGTTCTCCCGTAGGCTAGTGAAGAAATTGATCCTCCAATGCTATAACTGCTTGTAAAACTCTATGAAAATGACGACTAACAGTTTCTCTAGAACGACGATAAAAGTATGACATTGGGATATTTTTTGAGGGAATTGTTAATAGATAGAGGAATTTAACAACTTGCTCTTGCACCGTGGCTCTTTGAGTAGGTTGTAGACCACTATGTGTTTGCAATAAGTCACATAAGTGCCTAAAAGTTTTTGGCCCCATACGGATAACCTTACTCAAATATCCATTTGTACTAAGTTGCATCAATAATTCCTCTCGTACTAAATGACATTGTGCAGACCGATATCCAATGGGTCGATCGACATAACTTGCATGGCTTAGTTTTCGAGCAATTATCATCTTTATTACATGACAAACAATTTCAGTAGCAACCAATTGTCGCTTCCTTTGTTGAATGTCATATTCTCCATCGACTTCATTTTGTTCCTTATCCATCTAAAAAGATTTGTATTAGGACACGAAATTTACGAATGAATAGATAATTAAAAAACATATTTTATTTATTTACAAAGGTTATGGCGTCATTATCAAGTACAATGCTAAAACTCTAAATATCAATATAAAAAGGAGTTCTCTAATAGTAATGTTTTTAAAGTGTTGACATAATCTATAATAAATAATAAGAATAATGTAACATCCTAATACGTAAAAGATGTTTTTAAATGAAGGTATTGAGACATAAAAACCATTTTATCTATTCAAACTTTATTGAAAAATTCTTCTTGCTCTAAATGAAGTTGATTAGGCAATATAAATGACGGTTAGTCCTAGATTCAGTTCATACATTGCATAGACTTTTTGGGAAGAGAGAGAGAGAGAGAGAGAGAGAGAGAGAGAGAGAGAGAGAAAGATGCTTGTCCATTGTGTCTCTGTGTTTGGGCAAGCTACAGAGATTTGGGGTCTTGGTACGGCTTGGTTTGGCTGCATGTCAAGAACCAATATCAAGAAAAGCAATGTGGTGCCTTTGAAGATGTAATGTTCCCTTGGGATATTTCACGTACATAATTTGTATGACCATTATAGCACTCAATTCTTGTGAAACTTTTTTTTTGCACCGTGAGTATCTACTAACAATATAGGATTCAAAGTTTTTTTTTTATCTACTATATTGTATACTTGATTAATTTATTTGCAATAACAGAGTGAGGTAGGAAAATTTAAAGAATGTTTCAAGTTTCTCAAACTCTGTGGGTTTGAGATAATTGAAGGAGAATTTTTGTACCTACCTAAAGACAAAGTTTACATCGCCAGACTTGCAGAAGCTTCGACAGTTCTAAACTCTGCTATTACCAATCCTTACTTTGGACCATTTTCAAGGTAATTTAAGTCTTATTATATACCCAGGATCGTAACTTGAGCAGGGACAATCATGAAACCTCTTGGGGATGATGAATAAGGAGATCTCTAATTTTGGTTTTGACGATCAGCCTCCATTCAAAACAATACTTCTAGTATTACTATCTTTGTAATCATTTCAAAGAAACATGCATTATTACAATAAAAGAGGCTAACATATTGTTTATGGACTCTGTGTTGATCATTTTATACTTTGAAGCTTACACAGGCAAATAAACAAACAGAATGTATGATTTAAATTTCATATTCATGTATCACCACTGAAACTTACATGTACCATAACTATGCAAGATATAATCACAAATCAATAATATAAAAATCAAGATTTCCCGCAGACAAGAATTTTATGACAGAAAATGAACAAAAAAATTTAGAATATAAACAATAACAATCTACACAAAAAAAATACTTTTTCCATAATTCTCTAAAGAAGATTGAGCAAAGAAAGAAATAAAGAAGAGATTGAGTCAAAGAAATATCTTTTGTTATTGAATTGTGGGTGTTGAACGGAAGAAAGCCAAGTGAATCTAGTTGGAAGTATTGAAAGTAAGAGCTGAGAAAGCTTTGCATCAGTGGTTTTACAAATAAACTTTAGGATATATTGGGAATAATGAATTTTTGTATCAGCTTTTAAAGGACAAAATTGTCATATTAAAAATATCTTTTGGCACCCAACAAGTTTTCATCCTTTTCTTCCTACTTTTGGGCTAAAAAATTTTCACCAATTGGAGGGAGTTCTATCCGTTCATTTCCCTTCTCTTCTGTCCATGTTAAAACTCCCAAATGAATGAAATGGTACAGATTTCTCTCAGGATACTTTCTTTTTTGTTCTTTTCTCTTGATCCAAATGAAGCCTTACTCTTTTCTTTTTTTCTCATCCAATTTGATTTGAAATCTTTCCAGAACTAAGTTGCAGGAAATTGGGTAAAAAAAATTTAGGGAATGATTTTTGTCTCTTAATTTGGATTGTTCCTCTTAGAGCTGGTCATAGATCAAAAGATGGAAAAAAAAGACTAAAAAAAGAAGAAGAAGCCAACATTAACTAGAAATTGCAATTATCAGTGTCAAGACCAATTCCAATGCACAATCTTCTCATAGTCAACATTTGTTTTGGTGGTGATCTCACCAAAAACCATTAACATGTTGGTCTTGGTGCAAGTCTCGCAAGCAACTTCGTTGTCAGGATCTTGTTCAAGGAAGGCATCAAGCACTGCATCAAATATCTAATCATAGATCTTGTCTAGTTGTCCCTCATTTATAGATTCAAAGCTGAGCAAGAAGGTATCCATCCTTTAAACCTTGAAAAAAGACGAACCCAACAACAAAGGTGAGAAAGGAGAGATTTGGTTGGACCTCGTCCAGGCACGCCCCAAATGCTTGCAAGGAAGAAGATTTTGGTCCCAAATGCTTGAAAGGAAGAGATTGGGTTCTTTCCGGTTTTAGTGGTTTTTTGTCAAACTCAAGTTTGATCAGGTTTGGCCGATTCTTTAACTAGCGATTTTTTAAGGAGACTCGGACCGGATGTTTGGTCAATTCTCGATTTAATCGTTCAGTCCGATCCGAGTTTAAAAACACTGCAATTTGATACAAAACAAAGAGACAAAAGTAACAAAACCAAATTCTCACGTTAACTAGAACAAAACATCAAAACTTAAATATATAAACCTTGAAACGATAACTTAAATAGAAGCAAATTTAATTAAAGATATTTTACTTAATAATTAGTTGTCTTGACTATAAATAAGCTAATACTAATTACTTATTTCATGGATAATTTTTAGTAAATTAAACTTAGCCTTTTCAAGTTTAGAGTTCTGAATGTATAAAGTTAGATAAATATGAATAAGTGTGTTGGCTTTGGTCCCTAACTTTTGATGATTACAAAACAAATGGATGTTACTAACATCTCCTCAAAGGCTTTTTCAGAAATGAAACAAATCATGTTCAAAGATTAAACACATTTGAAAAAGACAGAATGTGCTGAATCTGTCGGACGCTCAAGAAGACAGTACCGAACGTCCGATAATCATTGCACAACTTCGGACACATGCTTCGGACGTCCGATAGGATCCTTCGAAGTTGACAAAACTATCGGACGCAGAATATGTCTCTACCGGACGTCCGATAGAAATAAGATAATTTCTCAAATCTCTTTATTTGCTGTCGGATGCATAAAAAACTTGCACCGGACGTCCGAAATAATTGAAAAAAATCTCTTAAACTCACTGCCTGCTGTCGGACGCATAAAATATGGCTATCGGACGTCCGACATTTCAATGGCTAGTTGACTATTCAACTACTTTCTATCCGTTGGAAGCATTAATGAGCCATTTTGTGATCTTATATGAATAGTGGTTGGTCAGATACTTAAAAAAACTTTGACACACTGAAGATACAAAAGATCTAGA